TGGTGAAACATGTTATTGTACGGTGTGGTACATGGCAGGTTTGACATTCTTGGTTTCACCTTGGACTGCAGCCTCGTGTAAACCCAGGGGCATCACAGGATTATAATGTGACTACCTACTCTTCAATTGCACATTCTCGCTCGCCTTAGACTTTAGTATCACCATCACTTCTTTGAGATACTTATAGATGAGGGTTTTAGGTTATTGAACGTTGTCTCTTCTGTAACAACTATGGCTGAATGTGCTACAAAGTTATGCATATTGATCCATGAGAAATTTTTACCTACAACAAAAATCTTTAACTATAGTAATTAAGAATGACAGGAATGTGTCATCTACATATTCATCCAACCAAAATGACAGGAATGTGTCATCTACATATTCATCCAACCAAAAGAAAATAACTTGGGTACTAAGAACATTAATGTTGATAAGGAAATTCAAATGATCTCAGTAAGTTTTTTTACCTAGCTTATTTGATTATAATCCAATTTGTTATAGAATTAAAATTCTTACTTTATGCAAAGTCTGAAAAACAAAAATGTGTAGCTATATATATCATGGCCTGGGATAGAAATTTGAGACAACTGCAGTAATTTGGAACAAAGATCACTCTTCTCTATATTCTGAACCACAAGATAATTAAATTATTTGGCTGCTGATATTTGTATTGGCTCTTTGCTTCCTCTTCACTTGAGAGAGATTATATTAGATTTCTTGTAGTGTGATTTGGAATTAGTGATTTGAACCATGAATTACCTGTGTGTATTATCTTGTTTATATTTTCTTTGCTTTTTATGTGATTGATATTTGCTTATTAGGGGATTTGTCATAACACATTAAAATCACTAAATTACCAAGCCCATATTTGAAAATGAACAGCAAAATATTATTTTATTTATTTAATTAGTATTAGGATTATTCAATTTTGATGTTGCAATTTATGACTTACAGTTCAAACTACACACATTAGTCTGTCAATGCCATAGATGTCCTGAACTCAACATATTTTGAAAGCGGAATGGAGACTCTCGAGTCCCGATGATCTTTATATTTAGGAAGAGGTAGAGATTTTTGTAGTAGTATCTCTGTTATCATAGGATTTCATTCTCGGTATGTTCCTTCTCTTTAATATCTCATGAGCTAATTTTTTTTTCTTAAAAATTGTATGCCTTTGTTCATCGGTCCACTAGATGCCAAAGTATGCATGATAGGATTCGATGTCATCTGTGAAGGACAAAGACAGTTCACAAAATGTTTTAGATCTTATTACCATATTATTTTGCTTATGTGATCCTATAAAACGTTTTGAGCATGGAAACATCGAATTAAGCCACTTATTATTTAGTACCAATGTATATGAAATACCTCCTTAAGTACAAATACATATGATACAATCATATCCACATCCAGCCTCATTTCCTCATTTTAAATTCATTTATTTTTCACTTGCCTTTTTCAAGTCCTTTTCTCTATCAAGTTCTCCTACCGCTGCTTATATAGTTCATTTTTCAATATATATACGAAAGCTTGTATCTGTTTTATTTAAATTATATTGTTATCGATGAGTCTTAAACGACACAAAATTCCACATATTGTTATCGATGAGTCTTAACAATAACGTTCGACATATTCCAGTGAAATCTTTAAAGAGGAAAGGTAATGATATTGCTAACAATATTACAAGTAGCAAACTCAATGTAAAGTTAACTAAAATTTTAATGAATATATTACAAGTAAATTTATATGTAAAATTCCTTTACGAATTGAATGATCACCCATTTTTTAAAGACTTCAAGATACTAATAAATAGAGATGTTGTACTAGATTAATGTGTTTATAACTCAAAAATAGTAGATCACGTGGTCACAGTCTGGGTTAAAAAAATAGTACTAGATTAATGTGTTTATAACTCAAAAATAGTAGATCACGTGGTCACAGTCTGGGTTAAAAAAATAATAATAATATTTTATTTGAAAGAGAGATTATTGAGTAGATGATCAATCCCACAAAAAAGTTTATTTTCTTTTTTTATTTTAACTCTATTTTTTATCAATTTAAATAATCATGATATTCAAATTACCTAGAAGAAAATGAAGGCTACTGCATGGCTGTCCTTAGGTTCGATATCAAACATTAGAAGTTTGAAGTTACATCGATCGCTCATACACCCACTTAGGAGAGACTGTTGTATAACTATACATGAGCTAAGAGGGCATGTTTTTGTTGCGCTTGTTACATGTAAACAACCTCGGGTGAAGATATGTTTGCTCAAGGATAACAAGAATTGGATTGAGATGTTAAGCTTCTGTACCGAAAATTGCCGAGAGAGCTGCTTAGGTTCACCACAATTACTCAAAGTTATTAGTATCGCTGATGACAAAATTCTGTTCGAGTACCGTAATTATGGGAACTATTCAAGCAGATTATGTAGTCAGTATCGCTGATGACAAAATTCTGTTCGAGTACCGTAATTATGGGAACTATTCAAGCAGATTATGTAGTCATGACTTTGAGCATGATACTTGCACTTGAGTACCGTAATTATGGGAACTATTCAAGCAGATTATGTAGTCATGACTTTGAGCATGATACTTGCACTGCAATCCTAAATGAAGTTGTTCTATGTCTTTCTTCGTACTCGAAAAGTCTCGACTCAACAAGAAAATTAATAAGAGGCATGAAGTCTGCTGTAGAAAACTTTTAATGGACCTCTATTTTTATATGAATTCAGGGATTTGTTGATTCTTTAGTACTATGATTTTATTTGTGCTAAGTACAGCTGCAGAAACCGTTGAAAATATCTAAATTAAATTATAAAGAAAAAAGATCTTTTTAGATATGTTTTAGTGCTTATTTGTTGCTATTACTTATGGAAGTTTTCTATAAAGATTCTATTCTGCTCGGTTTGTTCCTCGAGTATTATCGATGATTTTGCTGCTCCTTTTTTCCCTTTACATATATCAGGAAGTATTACATAATGATATGTTCTATGTATTCAAATTCTATGTTAGGAAAGAATATTGTAGTGTCAAATAAATGAAAGAACAACCTTGTTTTTTTTCTTAAAAACATTTTAGTTATTTTCCAATTGCAGATTTAGTAGTCTAATTGTAATCTATATAGTTAGAACAATAATGCCAAAAAGTTGACGATCTAAATCTCGACCTTCCTAGAATTTATCAATGCCAAAAAGGTATATATTTATATACTTATTCTGTGGATGCTTTTATATCATATAAAATTATATTAGAGTTAGCATTAAATTTATATACTTATTCTGTGGATGCTTTTATATCATATAAAATTATATTAGAGTTAGCATTAATATTTAGTTTATGGTTTTCAATGAAGTCTATCAATGATTATGAATGAAATCCATATTCTCTTTTGTACTATGTAGCCACTTCTAATCAATTGTATAGGCTCATTGGCTTTAATTATTTCTCTTGCTATTATAATGCTATTTTTTCAAATATTTTGTACTTTTACAACATTATACTTCCTTAGGTGAAGCATTCTTTCATGTCAATTTAAATAACATGAATATTCAAATTGACCTCACGTTGTTTTCGTGTAGCCCATTCAAACAAATATTAGTTTTTTATGTAGCCCACTCAAACAAATATTAAAGAAGATAAATAATTACAATATTAAATTTTAGAGACATAAGTGAGAAAAAATCAAAATCAAAGAACAAATTTTAGTAAGAAAATAAACTAAAAATGAATAATTATGATATTTAACCATGTGCAATGCACGTGCATAAAAACTAGTATATATATATATATATATATTGCATTTCAGGTACGCACAAATGCGTACGCATTTCCCCTTAAATTCGTGCGCAGGGGGGTTTTTGAAAAAAACCAAGGCAACTCCGTGACCCCTATCCCAATAAATTCGTGACTATCTCACTCGTTTTCTCTCTCTCCTCCCTCAACTCAAGAAACCAGATCCTTCGTCGCCGCCCCTTCTTCGCCGCCGTCCCTCACCGCCTCCATCTCCCCTCCACCACCCTCTCCCCTGTCCACCTCATCTCCGCCTCGCAGCTCAACCACCACAGACGCCAGCCCTCACCCCGTCGAGCTCCGCTCACCTTCACCGTCGAACTGCAGCGCCTCCTCCCTCTCTCGACTCCCTGGAGGAGGACAAGATGAGGATGGGCACCAAAGTGATGGAGCAGCTCCAGATCCGTGACAGGTCCCTTTTTTTCTCGATTTCCTTCGATTGATGACCAATCCATTGTTTTTAGATCCTTCATTTGATGCTTTGATGTGCTTTGAACAGAGGAAGATAACCCTAGGATGATAAGACTCAATTTTTAATTTGTATTTTTTCCTAGTTACACAAAGACAAATTTGGTTTTTTTTCCAAGCACAGTTAAAGTCAGAAATAACTTATAGTGATTCCTGAGCTCTCTTCAAGCATTAAAAGAAAATGTGACTTGTCTACAATTTAGTTAGATCACATAAAAATATGTTAATTTTTATGAATTATTAGAAAAAATACACAAAGATTAAGAGAGTTGAACGGATCTAATGCATGCTCAGAGTGGGAAGAACTAGATTTGAAGGCATCCCAGGTCTCCTTCGATCCTCTATATTCTGTGTGCATGCCCGTGTTCTCTATCCCTCTTTAATCTTAAGGGGTTTTTTTTTTGGCATGTAGTTCATCTGTGTGCATGCCCGTGTTCTCTATCCCTCTTTAATCTTAAGGGGTTTTTTTTTTGGCATGTAGTTCACAAAATTGTTGCAAAGTCAGGAAGCTTGGCACTCGCTATTGAAGCATAAAGAATCGGACAAAGCCAATGAATAATTCAAGTAATATGATGAATAATTCAAGTAATATGAATGAATAATTCAGTCCTTTCACCTAATTAACTTGATTCATACTCTGTTCTACTGGCAATACAAGTCTCCTCAATGTACCAAGTTATCCTTTAGTTTGCCTTCCATTTTTCTTAACTAAAAGAAACTATTATGCAGGGAATCCTTGTGTTTGCATCTGTTATGGCAACTCTTTGTCTCCAGATTATATTGGAATCAGTGCGCTCATTAGTATCAGATGTAAGTCAATGTCCTTTTCTCAACTATGTCAGTGTGCATGAGTCAAAATAGCTTCATAATTTGGGAGATAAATTGTACTGTAATTACCTGTTTAGCCTGAACATATTCTTATGAAATGCTTGTGTGGGTTAAATTGGTGTAGGAGGATGGATTCAGCTTGACCAAGGAGCAAGAAACTTGGGTGGTCAACATCAATGGGCTTGTGGCTGCACTTCTTGCCAATTATGTAAAGTATTGGATTGACCCAGTTGGAGCTATGATCGTAAGTATTGATTTAAAGCATTTCTATGTTCATATGTCAGTATAATTGCTCTGACTGTTGACAATAAGTCATTTTGGACAGGCTATAAGACACATCGACACAGTTCGAGCCTACACATTTGGATCGCACTACTTTGTGGAGGTTGACATTGTGTTGTCATCGGAGATGCCACTTAGAGAAGCTCATGATATTGGCACTGATTTTTGAAAGGGGAGAGCCTGTTACTGTCATTGGGATTCATTTAGTAGGATTTGTTGAGATATTGGCACTGATTTGTTGAGAATATTTTAGTAGGGTTTGTTGAGATATTAGCTCATGATATTGTGGATTGAGGTTATATTCAAAGATTTCTTCAAGTTGTCTCAATGCTTAGTGTATGGTTGCGTACTTGCAAGTTCATGTACGGTGTTATACTGACCTTGCTGTTTGAGCATCTGCTTTGGCCTAATTTTTTTTTTGCTTCATGGATTTATTTCAGCACATAATGAGCAGCTTTGTATCATTTTTCACTTTCTGACTTTGTATAATATAAGTAGACTGAAATGTGCAAGGTGGCAGCTGTAACATTGAGTTACCTCCACAGAGTTTATTGTTGCCAAGGACTGAAATGCGCAAGGTGGCAACTGAATGTGTTAATCTGTAACAATACATAGTACTCAGGTTCATTAATTAGCCAGATCATTCTAAATACATATATGTTTGTGTAATGGTGTAGAGTATCATAAAGAGTTGCATAACCAAAACGCAACTCCTGGTAATGCACTGACAGAATCATATAATTAAACAAGCATCAACAACAATAACAATTTATTGACAGTAGGAACAATTGAAGAGAATCATAATTAACCAGTTTTTCCTTTTCATAATATTATGCAAAATTTAGAAATTAGCTACATATAGTGCTCAGTTCCCAGGTACAAAATTGTTGTAAGCAACAACACGCTGAGCACCAAAATCAAACCTTAGACTGAAGCAGGATAATTACAGAAACAAATACACTAACAATAGGAACGGGCACAAAATCGCAACCAATTAATATTAACATTCTTCAGTTAATAAATCTCAGGTACAAAATTGCTGCATGAATGCAACTGAACTAATACAACAATAACCCACGTTAAACATCTATAAACAAATTTTCCCTCAAAAATAATCTATGATAAATCTATACAAAATTGCCTGTGTCCACAGATGTATCTGTGACTGCTAATCAGGAAAAATGTAGCAGTGACTGAACCAACATAGCCCATCCCATTCCACCAATGACTCTATTTAGATAAACTGAGGGAATACTTCCTCCAAAAACTTTCCAGGTGGCGTTTTTGTCACCATTTACCATCTGAGGATTGATATCAAACACCCCAATTGAATTTTCAGGTGGCGTTATGGCAAAACTTTTCAGCCCGGAGTGTAAAAAAGATCCAAAACTGCACTCTGGCATACTATCTTTCATCATCAAATCTTTCCAGAATGCAATCCTCTTCTTCTTCTCCACAACTTGGCATAGCTCCAAAACACAAACTTCAATTCAAGCATAAAAGCATCTGCTCGAGATCAACATAAAAGCATGGAAATTTTGTCAACTTTAGATACAAATATTGGATTACTTGTTGAAACTATAACATAATAAGAAATGGGAAATTGCAAGCCATTAGATGCAAAGCTCAATTAACAAAATCAAAATCAATCTACACCCAGAATCGAAAATCAACAACAATCAATCTACACCCAGTGACCCAGAATCCAAATCCCCATCTCCATGAGTAAAGAATAATTTGCAAAACTCTTTCGTAATATAAATAACCAGTACATGAGTGACTTCCTCATTGTAATATACCCATGTTTGCACAATGGGGGAAAAAGAAATAGAAAAAGGAGAGAAATCTACACACAGAAATTATTTAAATTTTATTTAGAAGAACACTGTCATTAAGGAACAAGATGTTACAGTCCCTAGTTCCCGCGTGTAAATATACAAGAAATCAAGGAATATGTAGGCAAAAGGAACATAGAACATCTTGATGCTATCCTGATGCTAATGATGTACACTATCAGTTCAGATGGCAGCATCACAAAGTTGCAATTTCTCCAGTGATCTTCAACACAAATATTGGGTATCATCAACTTAAACCAAACTTTCAATCCACAAGCTCACCACATAAGCATGAATTATTCATCATATTACTTGAATTATTCATTGGCTTTGTCCGATTCTTTATGCTTCAATAGCGAGTGCCAAGCTTCCTGACTTTGCAACAATTTTGTGAACTACATGCCAAAAAAAAAACCCCTTAAGATTAAAGAGGGATAGAGAACACGGGCATGCACACAGAGAATATAGAAGATCGAAGGAGACCTGGGATGCCTTCAAATCTAGTTCTTCCCACTCTGAGCATGCATTAGATCCGTTCAACTCTCTTAATCTTTGTGTATTTTTTCTAATAATTCATAAAAATTAACATATTTTTATGTGATCTAACTAAATTGTAGACAAGTCACATTTTCTTTTAATGCTTGAAGAGAGCTCAGGAATCACTATAAGTTATTTCTGACTTTAACTGTGCTTGGAAAAAAAACCAAATTTGTCTTTGTGTAACTAGGAAAAAATACAAATTAAAAATTGAGTCTTATCATCCTAGGGTTATCTTCCTCTGTTCAAAGCACATCAAAGCATCAAATGAAGGATCTAAAAACAATGGATTGGTCATCAATCGAAGGAAATCGAGAAAAAAAGGGACCTGTCACGGATCTGGAGCTGCTCCATCACTTTGGTGCCCATCCTCATCTTGTCCTCCTCCAGGGAGTCGAGAGAGGGAGGAGGCGCTGCAGTTCGACGGTGAAGGTGAGCGGAGCTCGACGGGGTGAGGGCTGGCGTCTGTGGTGGTTGAGCTGCGAGGCGGAGATGAGGTGGACAGGGGAGAGGGTGGTGGAGGGGAGATGGAGGCGGTGAGGGACGGCGGCGAAGAAGGGGCGGTCTTCTAAAAATCATAATTAAAGCTTATTTTCTATCTTCAAGCGTTGGGTCATTAGGATGGGCGCTCAAAATAAAAAATCTATCCACCCTAACAATCTCCAAAACCCCTTCAAAGAAGTACGCCATATCGTTTTTAATTAATTGGAGTAATCATACATAAATCCCAACTAAGATTTTCCATAGAGCTAGAGATAAAATTTTAAATCCCAATAAACTAAAATATCCCGTTTATAGTTATTATCCTATCTTTTAACAACTCAACTAAAGAAACTAAACAAAACTGACTGGCGCCAAACTCTTCTCCTCTCTTTCTCTTTCGTCCCGAAACAAAATACTAAAAAAAACAAAAACCCTTCATGTTTAAATTCCAAAAAATATCACATCGTTGATTGATAGAGACCGACCACAATGCTATTCAACTACAATGCAAAGCATCGCCGGCGTTCGACGAGAGGCGGCTGCAGCAACTGCAGCGGAGGTGGAGGGTGGAGAAAAAGAATGCGCACGTGCGTTTTAGGCATCATCGTAAGCTTGTCTATTGGGTTTTGGATCGTGCAACTCGTGTCAATACGGCGGTCTGCCACCCCGAACGCTGCCGTGCTCTACTGAACGTAGTCTCGCCGTTAATTCGATCAATAATGTTGTTACGGAGGATAATGCTCTTGGCTGGACTTTGCCTTCGCCTCAAAGGAAGCTGCCTCGAAGTAATTAGTCGATTTTTTTTTTTTAGGATTTTTGTTGGAAAACTAGGGTTTTGGTTTGGAAATTAGGGTTTGGTAAATTTCACCAAAACCCCCCCCCTTTAAGTTTGGGTGTTTCTCAGATAACCGGTTGACGTACATGTTATTAGATAACTTATTTCATCTTTCAATATTTTTCTAAAATATTTTTCTCAAAGCCCCCAAAAGTGTGAACCATAATTTTCAAAAAAAACCCTTCAACTTCGAATGTTTTATCAGAAAGTGCCCTTAAAGCATGACAACGATTTTCAGAAGGGTTGATCATGCTAATGATCGCTAAAAATACTATATAACATGTTAGTAGTCAAATCATTAGTGTGAGCACCCTTTTTTTTTGCTACAGTAATCCCGGTTTAACTGCTACAGTACTTTTTAAATTGCTAAAGCATCCTGCTTCTGCTACAACATTCAGTGTGCTACAGTAATATTTTTTTCAAAAAATCCATAGTGTACAGTTTCATGTTTGTTACCGTAACAATGCTACAGTAAATGTTAATGTAGTATTTACTGTGGCATAAATAATGAATCTTGGGTTCTTCCATTTGTGTAGAGGAGTAGATATCATTAATGAAAAATGTTTCTGAAGAGGATTTGTTTACATTTTAAAAAAGATATTTTTAACCGAAGAGGCTTAATTTAGAAGAGGACAAGGTAGGGATATGCCCTAGTTTGTCTCAGAGAAATACGAGATCATAACACGAAGAATAGAAGTTTTAGGGACTTCAAGTAGTCAAATGTAAAATTTGAAGTTGAAGAGGGGATTTATTAATCAGATCAACTTCAAACTTGTGAAGGAAAATCCAAGCTGCAAATTCACTAGCCTATTGTGGACCTTGGTTGTCGTAGATGAACTAATTAAGCTTAATAAACAAGCCTTTTGTTGTATGAATAATTTATATGACATGCATTTGTAGTGTTGAAGCATTTGTGACATTATGAACGCGGCTAACTAAGTATATCCAAACATGAAAACACAGGGTTTTTTTTGTTTAAAACCAAGTTAAAGAGAAGGGAAAATGACTGCGATATGTTTCATATTGAGTTAGTTAAGTCTTTTTGGAGTTTTAATGAAGATAGAGGAAAGAAAATTTAGGAAGATGATAAAGCAAATAACGTGGAATAAAAAAATGAAAAGATTTGCCGACGACATCTCTTTTACTTTTTTATGTTATCTCAGATTCTTGCTAATATTATGTACGAAAATTCTTTTCTAAAGAAACAATTTGGCTGTCATATAAGAAAAATATCACTTCATTGGAGGGAATAATATTCCTAATGTATGCTTCTTATCCCAAGAAAAGCTACATCATGTCCAATATACGTGTATTTGACGCATATCGTTGCTAAGTAGAAAGAGGTTCATCAATGATTTTCTACTCTCGACCTTACATACACATTTATGCATTTATTTTTGTACTTTTCTCCAGGAGTTTATAGAAGTAATGGATATCTTCTGTTGTATTGCAATGGAGGTCTGAATCAAATGCGAGCTGGGGTACGTAATTTTCTTTTTCTTTAAAGATCATTTTGAGGAAGGCTCCATTATGAACTTGTAATAGTTATTTGCAGATAAGTGACATGGTAACCATTGCCCGCCATCTAAATATGACGCTAGTAGTTCCAGAGCTCGACAAAAGATCATTTTGGGCCGATAAGAGGTATAAATATTGCTCATCTTATATTTCAAAACAAGGCACTTTCTTATTCATGGTTATTCATTTTGCAGTAATTTTGAAGATATATTTGATGTGGATCACTTCATTGATTCACTGAGAGATGAGGTAAAGATCATCAAGAATCTCCCTAAGAAGCTTATCAGAGATATAGATAATAAGATTGTGAAGGTACATTCAATGCCTCCGGTCAGCTGGTCGAATATGGCATACTACTTGAAACAGGTCAGCTAAGAGTTTATTCATTTCTCTACAAATAACTTCGGTTTCTTTTCTTTCATTATGTCCTTTGAAACATATGCATTCTTGGTTATAGATCTTACCGCTTGCAAGGAAGCACAAAGTAGTTCGTTTTCTGAAGACGGATACTCGTCTTGCAAACAATGGCCTTCCAGTTGAACTCCAAAAACTTCGTTGTCGTGTCAATTACGATGCTCTGAAGTTTAATCAACAAATCGAGGCCTTAGGTGAAAGGCTAATTTCCATCCTTAAGAAAAAAACCGAGAACTTTGTTGCGCTCCATTTGCGATATGAGATGGACATGCTTGCCTTTTCTGGGTGCTCTCACGGATGCTCTGAAGAAGAAGCTGAAGAATTGACAAGGAAGAGGTTTTGCATCTTACATGTGTCATTTACTATACAATTCTCTCTCTCTCTCTCTCTCTCTCTCTCTCTCTCTCTCTCTCTCTCTCTAAATTGTGTTTGCCTGCAGGACAAAACTGACTAATGGAATTTTATCGGTCCTGTGAACTCACAGATATTTAGTCGAATGGTGGAAAGAAAAGGAGATAGATCCTGATGAGAGAAGACTCGAAGGCCGATGTCCTCTTACTCCTGAGGAGACTGCATTGATTTTAAAAGCTCTAGAGTTTGGGAGGGACACTACAATATACATTGCTGCAGGAACAATCTATGGTGGTGAAAAGAGAATGGCTGCTCTGAGGGATGCATATCCTAACACAGTAAGCACCATCTCTATGTTATTGGAAAAGTATTGTACTATATTATTAGGAATATTATTCAATTTTACAGTTTTTTTATGGAACATATCTTAATATATTATTGTAATTAATTAGAGAGTATGTTATCGAGAAATTCTTTATCCTTCATTTTCTATATTAGTAAATTTGCTACGATACATGCGGTAACTTATCCTCCATTGCTTCAATTTTTGTTATCCGTAATTAGAGGTCATGTAATTTCAGGTAGACAAGGAGATGCTATTAAGTCCAAGTGACTTAGAACCTATTAGAAGCCATTCAAATCAGATGGCAGCATTGGACTACTTGGTTTCTCTCGCAAGCGATGTTTTCGTCCCAACTCACGACGGGAACATGGCTAAAGTTGTAGAGGGTCATCGCAGGTTCAGCTCTTCTCTGCATAGTATCGAAACTCATTAATTCTTTCTTTTTGTCATGACGAGATCTCAGTATCGAGATCTTGATAAGAGCTCTTTCTTTTTTCGCTTGTGCAGGTATAATGGTTTCCGTAAGAGCATCATTTTGGACAGGAAAACACTGGTGGAGCATTTGGATCTGTATCAAGATGGAGAAATATCTTGGGATCAATTCTCCAATCTTGTTCAACAGGCGCACAAGGATCATATGGGTCAGCCTAAAGAGAGGAAAGTGATCCAGGGACAGCCAAAGGTGGAGGACTATTTTTATGCTAATCCGCAAGAGTGCCTAAATCATGGTCGTTATCTATAGAGCAATCCAACATGAAAATTATAGAAATACACCTTGTCTTGGAGAGTAGCCTGCATGTTTGCAGCCCTTGTATAGTTATCCTTTTATTTTCTTTGGCTAGTTCTTCCCGTTTTTATTCAAACAAAAGTTGATAGTGGATATTCTTTCTGCTAGTTTTTCCTGTTTTCATTAATCATGCGTTGCATCTCCTCAGTAATTTCCTTTTCCGTCCTTTTAAATGGCTCCCTATCTCGTGCATTTCCTCCCTCGAAAGGGCTTCGTCAAGGAGACTCTCTCTCGCCGTACTTATTTCTCCTTGTGCCGAAGGTCTTTCATGGATGCTGAAAAAAGTTGAGGAATCAAAGCAATTGATAGGAGCTACTGCATGCAGGGGCAGTCGAATAGTCCCCCACCTTTTCTTTGCAGATGATAGTCTCCTATTCTTCAAAGCAACAAAGAAAGAGAGTTTGGTAATCAAAACAAATTTAAGGACATATGAATAGTTCGTGTGAACTTACAGATATTTAGCGGAATGGTGGAAAGAAAAGGAGATAGATCCTGAGGACAGAAATCTCGAAGGCTGATGTCTTCTTACTCTTGAGGAGATTGCGTTGGTTTTAAAAGCTCTAGAGTTTGGGAGGGAGGCTACAATATACATTGTTGCAGGGACAATCTATCGTGGTGAAAAGAGAATGGCTGCTCTGAGGGATGCATATCCTAACATAGTAAGCACCATCTCTATGTTATTGGAAAAGTAGTGTGCTATATTATTAGGAAAAATTATATATATTATTCACTTATAGAGTTTTTTTATAGAGCGTATATTTAGTTATTCATATATTATTGTAATTAATTAGAGAGTATGTTATCGAGAAATTCTTTATCCTTCATTTTTTAAATTACTAAAATTGCTATGATACATATTATAACTTATCCTTCATTGCTTCATTTTTTGCTATCCATAATTGGAGCTCATAATTTCAGGTAGACAAGGAGATGCTATTAAGCCCAAGTGACTTAGAACCTAATAGAAACCATTCGAATCAGATGGTGCGCGGTATTGGACTACATGTTTTCTCTCCCAAGGATGTTTGGCCATAGCAGGCTCGTTTCTTCTCCGCATAATATCAAAACTCATTTGTTTTTTCTTTTTGTC